AGTTGTTATTCTCCAACAGTCATATGAACATAGAAGGGCATTGTATCAGCAGTAGACAAATATGCACATCCAAAGGGAGCGGTCATTGCCCATTCTAAACAGGGACCAAGACATTGGGATGGTGGGGAGTCCAGTAGGTAGAACCAGGATGTTGCCATGAAGGCATTCATCCTGCCAGATTCTCCAGCCAACTCAGGAAAGCTGTTGTTTATGAGGTCTCAGAGCACAGTGGCTTGTTCTTCTGGTACCGCCTGTGGCTATGCTGCCTCCCAGTGTCAACACGTGGTGGGGTACATGGAGGGGGGAAAAACACCGTCCTGTAACAGGTAATCTGGGGACACACCTGTCACCAGCAACCATTCCTTGGCAAAAGCTCAAAACACATGGAAAGTGGAGGCCAGATGTAGGTGGATTGCCCATCATTAGGCAATGGATGGTGTGTTTCTTGCCACCATTATGTGTCCGACACAGCTTTTCTTAGTGGGAAATTAAAAATACCACTTTGGCTCTGTTCCTTCCAACCGGGATCAGTAGAATACAGAAACACATGCCTGCTATGAACACAGAAAATATTTATACAAAGAGGGGCTTAAATAGCTGTGATTGCTATTTACTCATCATCATGAGGGAAACACAGTCCGTCAAAACTGAATTGTAACTGTACCTTGATGGATCTAATGAGACAAATTAATCACAATTAAGACCTATTCCACTGTTTTCAATGAGGCTAAATTAGAATTCATTGTGGCTAGTGATTCTTTATTATGGAGGGTGGTCTTAACGAGGGGAAATTTTTCTTCCACCTAACTCCCTGCCTTATCACACATTCACTATCCTCACTATCCTTTTGAAAAGCATCCATGTCTACATGTATACTACCTATTATTGTGGCAGGGGGCAGTGTTCCCTCTAAGCTGAGTTAGTGTGAGCTAGCTCACAGTGTTTTAGCCTACAGCTCACACATTTTACTCTTCGCTCAGGAAGGATGGCTCCAGAGCAAACTCATTTATGCAGTTGCCAGATCGCTCGCTCACAGCTTTAACGCCAGTGGCTCACAAAGTAGAATTTTTGCTCACAAGACTCCACAGCTTAGAGGGAGCATTGGTGGGGGGTTACTACCTGGACATGCAAAGTTAAAAGGAATCGTTAAGTTTCTATCCAGGACCACTGATTACTCAAATCTCACACTTTCAGTGACAACCTAAACAGAGTTACACCCTTCTGAGGCTGTTGCCTTCAACAGACTAAGAAGGGTGCAACTCTGCCTAGCATGGCTGGCACTTTTTGTCTTCTACACTGTTATGGCTGGGTAGCATTTCATATGCCCAACACTCAATGCATTGGAGAGTCAAGGAATAGTACTGTGGTTCAAGTCTTGGTTTTTTGCACCTGCTGCATGCCCTTGCGCACAGCACAGCTGAGCTATCCCCACAAGAGGCTCCCTTTAGAAACATCAGGATTTGCCAGCCAACAAATTTGGATCCATGGATAGACTGTTTTCCAGTGGTTTCTGGATGAAAGGTCCCCTTCTTCAGAGGATATTTAGTCCACAAGCCAAGCTGCACAAACCAGTGTCTAGACCCAAGAGAGGAGATGTTGGATAGATCTGAGCTATAATTACCACTACCCAGGGAAACCCTACTGAAGCGTTT